TTTTGGTCTGTGGGAGGAAACTACCTGGAGAAAACCCACACATGCATGGAGAGAACATGCAAATTCCACCCAGAAATTTTTCAGGCCAGGATTTGAACTGGCGACCTTCTCGTTCTACATGAACTGTGCCACCATGCTGCCTGAGCCAGGATTATGATACTAAAAAACAATAGCTGGTGGGGCAGCAAAAATACAAAAGTTACTACAAAAAACAAACAAAGAGGACAGACATAACCAGAAATGGAAAAAAAAAATAATAATACAGCAGTCCCTTGTTTATTGTGGGGGTTTGGTTCCAAACTGGCCCGCGTAAGTGAAATTCCACCAAGTAGTGACATTAAATGAATTTTAGTATTTATATATATTAAGGTTTTATAAGCCTTTCTCACACTCTTGCAATGTTCTAAACTCTTAAACCTACATCATTTTAACAACATACATATATGTACTGCACAGTAGCTATTGCAAAATTTTATATGGGGACTCACCAGCATTGGTCCGGTTCTGGTCGAGTTTTGATCAGCTCGCTGCAGCCGTTGAGCACCAAGATGCTTTTAGAGAGAGCCGGACTTTCGGAGAGAGAGTCAGACCTTTGGAGAGAGAGTCAGCACAAAGTCAAAATAATCTGGAGAAATCGGATGAAAAATTCCGGGTCAGCTCCGGAGAAGACACTGGACCTAGGAGCAATGCCTTCCCGCACAAGAGGCTCCCTGCGCTGGCAAACAGCTCAGATTGACTGATGAGGCTGGAAGTAGTTCTGGTCCAGTTCTGGTCCAGTTCTGATCGGCTCTCTGGAGTGCTGAAGTCACTATGAATAAGGACCAAACGTTTTAGTCAGGTTTGGTTAAAACTTTAAAACTCATAATTATGACTTTTATTCTCACAATTATGACTTTATTCTCATAATTGCGACTTTAAAACTCGTAATTATGACTTCAAAACTCGAAATTATGACTTTAAAATTCAAAATTATGACTTTAAAACTCAAAATTATGACTTTAAAACTCAAAATTATTACTTGTATTCTTGTAATTATGACTTTAAAAGTCAAAATTATGACTTTTATTCTCATAATTCTGACTTTAAAACTTGTGTAATTTTGACTTTTTTTCCTCGTAATTATGATTTTAAAACTCAAAATTATGAATTTGATTCCCATAATTATGACTTTAAAAAAGTCAAAATTATGACTTTTATTCTCATGATTATGACTTTAAAAGTCAAAATTATGACTTCCTGTTGGGCTTTTATTTTTCTTTCATGACAGAAATGGGCTTCCATAGTAGCGCATGGCTGGAAGCACTGTTAAATTCTGGGAAGTGCACTGTTGCCTTGTGGGTAATGTAGGTATTTTGGCCTGGTGATTCAGAATAGAATTATTGAAAGAAAACTATAAAATGGTGGTGCCTGTCCAAATGATTATTTTCTGTCATTTTCTTCCCAGCCAGTGATACTACTGTACAGTCCACAATCGTGTGTCTTGTACAATGTTTTGTGTCCAATATTATGGACTGTACATTCACAAACTGCAATAGAGTGAGTCGGCAGAAGTCAAACTGCAAAGTAGCGAGGGACTACTGCATAATAAGAAGAAGGCTGGGAGAATAAGTAGGCAGGGACTGATGAGGTAAGTGCTGGCAGATGATACTAATGATGGGATTTTCCCTCAGTCTGTTCCAGCTTTAGATCAGTTGTTAAGAACACATGAGGAGAGAAACACTGGGGAATACAGGTAAAACAGACTCCGAGAACTACATAAAAATAATCACAAGTAGACAAAAACATCACAGGCATGCAGACATGACAGTAGCTGTTTGTTTTCAAGTCATTTAGGGACTTCCTAATCAAATCTGCATGAAGGCACATTATATAACATACTTTATATTTTAGTTACACATAACAATACAAAAAAGGGTTGTACACAATGAAAGAAAAAAACAATTCCAGTGTATAGATATAAATGAAAGCACTAAGTTAGGTTTAAAATTTTGCTTTAGATAATGGTGAATAATTAATTTTAGATGTCCTGATGTGTGCTCAACAATCCAAGCAGAAAAATCCAACAAGGTTAAGTCAGGTCTCTCTTGTAAATGAGTCCCCGAGGCTCATGGGAATTAACCTGTTTAAATAAAGGTTGAATGAATGAAAAAGTCCTCTGGATGGATTATTCTATTTAAACAAATTTTAGAATTTTATGAGTTTTAATTTTTGTTTTTGACATGATCTGGTATTTTAATGGTGAACCCACGCGCAGGCAGACACGGGGACACTCCCAGGTAAAAATATTATGTATATTTATTTTAACAAAAAAAACCAAAAAAAAACAGCTGACAGAGCAGCAGAAACTTACTTGGAGGAGGGAGACGACGGGACGGAGTAGAACCAGAGCATGACAGCCTTGACAGCACAATCCACAGACAGAGGAAAAAACAGAGATGCTGAATATACAGAGACACTAATGAGACCGGGATGACAAACACCTTGGGCGAGTAGGATTAGACAAAAGTGAGACAGGAACTGCACAACAAGGAGAAAAACACTGGGGAGTGCAGGAAACACAAGGATTCCAGTCCAAAGCAATCCTATAGTTTATTGGTTTATTTTTGATTTTTAGACTCCTAAGTGACAAGCCTTCAAAGTGTATCTTTCATTCATTCAACCTTTATTTAGACAGGTAAATCCCACTGAGCCTCGAGGACTCATTTACAAGAGTATATAGTAGTCCCTTGTTTATCGCGGGGGAGCCGAACCCTGAAGCCCCGTGATAAGTGAAAAACCATGAAGTAGGAAAATTAGCACAAGTAGTACTATATGAAACTAGTACAAGTAGTATATGTATATATATTTATAAAGGTGTTTTAAACCCTTTCAACACTCTTGCAATATTTTAAACAATTATTCTAAACTCTAAACGCTCTAAAAGAGCACAGAATGTCATGAAATCAGCTCTTTGCCTCCGGCTGCTCTCTGCCAGAGCTCTCGGCCACGCCCACTTCTACGCTGCAGAGCAGAGATCAACATGCTGCAGGAGGAAGCTTCTCCTGCAGCTGTGAGCGGCACAAAGGTGCAGCAGGTGCTAATTGTTTAAAAAGTCCATGCCGATTATGCGGCTCACCCATCTATCTGTCAAATGTGTGTCGTGTCCAATCTTACTTTGAAAAACTGTGAAGTATCGAGTCCTCGAAAAATGAACTGCGAAGTAGCGAGGGACTACTGTAATATATTTTCAGCCATTGCAATTATAGACAAGGGTTCCTACACTGTAAAAAGTTACTTATTTACTTAGAGTGAATACGTATTTGTCAATTTATGTTTACACATTTTAGTTACTTTTTGAGTTAAAAAGTCAAGTAGGGCCTTGCATTTTACCTTAATGACTTGAGAATAACGTGACAATCGGTTTCAGTTATGATATAATTTTGTAGGAACCTGATAAACGCTAACGTCGATGACACGACAAAGTCGCAGTTCGATTACATCACTTTTCTTTCACTTTCACAATTTAGAACCTCACTGAGCAGGAAGTACCTTCCATCTTTTTATACATCAAGCACAACTTCTGACATATGGTGACATTTCTTTTACAGTCACTAACAAAACCTTGAAGATAAATGTCAAGCCAACACTAAACTGAACCAACAACAGGACAACCCATCTGAACACACAACCTGACAAAGTCTACCCATTTCTGTCCCTGGATGGCCCAGCATGTATAATAATTTCAATAACTCACACAGAAATTTAACAATATCCCACATAATTTACTGTTTCTGTAAAGTTTTTTATGCAATTAAGCCAAAATACGACTGCAAAATTGTAAATTATGAATGTAAACCTTAATGTAAACCATTTTCTAGAGCTACAACAATTTCAGTGTGGATTTTTGAATACATATTATTATATTTTGAATTTTTGAAAACTGAAAGCATCACAAATCTTCATGTCATCAAAAAAAAAACAGAGCCCCAGAGCCTTGCGTTCTGGTGCCACCAACTCTACTTCAGCATCGATTAGTTAATTCTCCAGTAAATTATTAAACAAACTCATCATGCAGTGACTCTGAGAGGAGCCTTCTCTCTTCACAGTAAAATCCTAACCGATGAGAAAGACCCTTCAAACACGTTTCTGCCTGTAGATGCAAATTTAAAAACATCTGATTGGATAACTGCATTTTCATGAATTAAAAAGGCAAATAAAAATGTTAACGTAACTCTGAGGGTTCCCCACTGAAGAATAGACAGACGAGGTTATACACTGTTATTACAGCAGGACCAGTTCTGTTATTAAGAAAAAGGATCAGTCATGCTTGATTTCAGATTTCCAAAACAACAACAAAAAAAAAATTAGTTTATCATCATATTCCAGTTTAATGACTGGAATCTGTTTAACACGGCACAGCTAAGTTGCTAAAATTCATAACTTAGCTTGTTATTATTCATGCGGTGAGAAAAGAAGACGTGAGCAGTTGTGCACTTGATACAATATCTAACTCCTCTCCGTTAAAAAAAATAAATAAATAAATCAACACTTAAAGAAAATGCCCAAGTTAGGTAAATAAAGTTCTCAGCGGGTTTTGAATCAGCAGTGAATAATCATGTGTTTTTAGCTTGAAATTACAGAATAACTATTATTCTGACCTTGCAAGTCTTTCCATCAAACCGGGCTTTGCATGCGCTGTGATTTTTATAGCAGACCACACACACGCTCCAGGTAACCTCGAACGTTATAGGGCTGAGTCCTGCTATAAAAGTGTCTCGCTTAAAATACCATATTGATCTATCCGACCAAGAATAAAGCTCTCTCAAATGCTCAGGCGTTAAAAATATTCAACTCCCCTTTGTGGGATTTAGGGAGTTGGTTGAAATACTTTTAAAGCGGGCCCTACTGCTGATCTATGATGCATTAGTTAACACCTGTTTCTGTTTTACAGGAGGTGACTGCTGAAGGCTGAAGGGTGGGGAGCATGTACAAATTTAGTTTGGAGTAACTCGGCACATATGGAAACCTGACCTTCATAAGAGAATCGTTTCCTGGCATCTCTTTCTACATGCCGGCCCTGCTTCGATGTCAACATGTCTCTCAAAGACTGCAGTCCACAAAGGGGGCACAGTCACAGCTTCCACAGTCTGGCAGTCCTGGCTGAAAACTATGGGAAAAGGCCTGTTAGGACATTTTTGGACTTTAGACACACAAACGTGCCTGAAACTCTGGACACCAAGGTCTTTCCCCTGTTTTTATTCAACTTGAGGTGCATCTCAAAAGTCAAAGTAGTCAGCCTGCTTATGGGCTTGACACTGATGTTCCTCATTATGGTTTCATATGTCCTGATGTGGGACAAGAAGGGGCTGTTTGCCTTGCCTCATCAGTTCAGACCCATGGATCGCAGGACGGACATGACCACGACTGAAGCTTCTATTGAAAACAGCTTTATAAACCTGAAACTGTTGATGAACACGACCAGCTTCAAACAACAGTGCACATCCAGGAAGATACCTGATGAAAAGGACATTATAGACACAGATCCTCATGTGAGTCATTTTTGACTGCAAAACAAAAAAAACAACAACACATCGGTGTCTACATAACCTGTCTAGTTTGCATCCGAATAACAAATCAGTCCTGAATTTAAAAAGACTAAAACCCACCAGTGTTTTATTTATGTTTGTTGGTAAAAGTGATCTATAAAAATAAGCTGCGGCCTCACCATTAAATGACCACTTTACTTACTCCACAAAGCTCATAATGAACTGCCATTATGATGCACAACTGCAGATCTGCTGTGATTCCCATTATTTTAGGTAGACTTTTAGAAAGAGCACCAATACTTGGCTTGGTAAAGCTGAAATGACACATGTTGCAACAAATGCGTCTTGACATTAAATACCACTTAGCGGCATGCATCAAACACGGGCGAATCCTTTTGAATTACAGGCCAAAGAGGTGATGGAAATGCTGCAAAATCTTGTAATGTGATCCCTAATTATAAAGTACTAATGATGTTTTGATGCATTTATGCTTTTAAATGTTTCATGGTTTGATGCGTATGCACAACATAAACAGAGGACAAATTATAATGGTCGCCACAGCACGACAGCAAGATACAGAGTATCACACTGTAGTTTCATGTTCTAGCTAATTTTCATGTACTCTTCAGTTGTTCTCAGTAATCCCTCGCCACTTCTTACCCAACATCAAGAGTCCATGCTGGTATGAGGAGATCTCAGGTGAGCTCAGCTCAGACCCATACAAGAGCAATCGCTTCAGTCTGCGCTCGAAGAGCTTCAAGAACGTCTGCGACCACATGCGAGCCGACTTCCCTCGGCACGTATGGCACAGAGATGGCAAACGGTTCCGACTGCGCTGCTTACCGTACTTCTACATCATTGGCCAACCAAAATGTGGCACAACAGACTTGTTCCAGAGGCTGCTGATGCTCCCAGAGGTCAAATTCAACACAATAAAGGAGCCGCACTGGTGGACCAGGAAACGGTTTGGTAAGGCAGAAGGATTGCAGGATTTATTAGCTTTCTTGCAAACAGATTGATGATAAACGAGGAGATGTACCTTGATGGGTGAAGCCTTGTGATCGTTGTAAGGTTGCTAAGCAACCAGCAGAAACTGCAGGAAGTAGCTGGACAAGACTAAGGAATGATCCAGCAAGCACATAAGTAATCCTGCAGGTCTCATAGGGGTGATTAAACCTGAATGTTGTTTTTTTTTTTTTTTTAACTTCAAACAGGTTATTGTTATAGATGTGATCGTGGTGTTACTGTAGAAGAAGAAAAAAAAAGTCAAGAAGAGTAGACATTTGACATATTGTCAAAAATATTAATATTATAAGTGAAAATTGCTGCACTGCAAGTTTTTTTATATACAGTATTTTTTTTTGTTATGGAACAAACCACTTTTGTCCTTTAAAACTGAAACAGTCAATTAAAGCGAAGAGTTCTTTGATATAGTTCTTCATAACCTCTAAACTACGTTTCATAAATTCAACGCTGCTGCAAAATTACTCATTTCAGCAGTTCCTGAACTTGTAATAACTTTATCATTTAATTAGCAAGAAGTCTTGTGTCGTGGAAAAAAAGAGATTCCCAAAACAGACTTCATCAGATTTATTTACAAAAGCTTTAGAGAGCAGTCCAGCCGAACATGCAATTACAAGATTACGCTCTGTGTGAAACTCTGACCTGCTCGAACTCTCTGGACCGTACAAGTTAGTTTTATAGAATAACCTCCAGCTCAGGCCTCAGTCCCTCCTCCATGTCCGAGCCGCCATCGAAAGGTCCGCTTGCAGACAGGAAGGAGTGGATCTGAGTCAAGGACTGTGCTTGAAACACGTCACCATGTCAAATCAACTCTATCATATCAATATCACATCAATCAGCTGATGAGGTTATCAGAACAAGTTCCTTCTGCTCCTCACTGACTGGTCACAGTAAGAGTGATTATACTTGGGACTGTAAATATCACACATCAGAGCAGAAGGATGTTCCCGCAGGAGAGTTATTGATCATGATGACTGCAAATAATACACATTACACTGACACTTGTTACTTCTTCTCCATAATGAGCTATATTTTTATCCTATTACAGCATTGTGAATTTAAATCTGTATGCAGATGACCAAAAATGCTTGTGGGTAGTTTCAAGTAAATGTTTCAATATGATTGATTGATCCTTAAAAGATTTTTTATGGAAAAGCAATCTATAAATGAGTCAATAATGAGTGTTATTTTACTGTGGCCCTGCAGGGTATATCCGTTTCAAACAAGGCTTCCAGGAGCGTTTTCCTATAGAGGATTACTTGGATCTGTTTGACTTGGCAGCTCAAAGGATCCAAGAAGGAATCAGTGGAAATTCATCTGGAGACCAGTGTGCGCGCCACATTATAACAGGTGAGCACATGTGAAAGTGTGTGTTTGTGTCCACGTCTTCAGCGCCTTTTGTGTTTTCATGAAAATAAAACTTTTCATTTTTTTGCTTCCACTTTCTGGTTTTAGGGTCGCTGAACTTGATTCTGATGGTATTTCAGATTACAGGTCTTGTTGAGTAAAAACAACGACGGTGATTGTATTTTACACTGTATCATTTACAGGTGTGCACAGAAGTATACCCTGGCAGAATTAACAATTTTATTTGGTCTTTTTTTGCAGAGAATATGAACGATAATGCAAAAACTTATCTTTCCCTCATGGTTAGTGGTTAGGTGAAGCCATTTATTATTTCAAAAAAGTGTTTCACATCATAATAACAACAGAAAATAAGCAAATGTCTCTGATCAAAAATGTACATATTCACATATTTTGTCAGGGTATGTACATTTTTGAGAACCAATGCTTCAAATTTCTTATGAGCTGCAGGTGTGATGCTTATATGATGTATGATGCTAATGATTGCTTTTAGAAGGTTGGTAATGAGTTTAATATAATAATCAAATTTACAAGGTGAGCAATATGATTATAGTCTGCTGGGGCATGTTTTTTTTTTTACCCCCATTGTAACTTTTAAAGTAGTTTATAAATGAGTTTCATGATGACTTGGCAACGCCAGAACAAGTTGCCATGTTTCTTCAGCTGTGAGCAAATATGGAATAAAAATCTTCTGAATGAATAGATAGTTATCTGTTTTATGTTACTGCAGAGCTTTAATCTACTTTTCCATCTCCATAATCAGAAATAGATTGAGATATTCTGAGGTTTGCAGACAAGATATTTAGATTGTTCCCTGTCTGTCAGTGATGAAGCTTGTTTTTGTCCCAGTGCTGAATCTTTTGCAGTCTTACAGTTTCATCAAAACCAAAGTAAGACACTTACTCAAGAAATGAAACACAAGTGAAGATTAAAGTGCGTTGGATTCAGCAGCCAGAGAGAAGGAAGACGTATTATTTTCAGTCAGTATTTTACAATATGCCCTCTCTTTAGAGACACTAAAATGTTTGAAGAATTAGGAGATGGTGACGGGAAATACTTTCACGTTATTTAACATATATTGTGATGTGAAAACACTTGTCCAAAGTCCTTTTGTATGAAAGGAAATTCATCCCATCATCATCCATTTTTATCTTGATTCACTCCCCTTTTTCTTTTTGTTATTCAAAAGTTTAATATTTAAAAACTTTGACTAATCCTGAGTATCACTGGAGAATTCATATACATATTCAATACATTTACTTGAGTTACCTAATAGTGTGAATGCTCATGAAGCATTCACACTATTAGGATCCATTTCTCTTCTGTACATTTTTCAGCACATTTCTCATTTCAGCTTGTTATGCTTCCTTCAGCTTATTCTGAAAGTTTCAGCTTTTCCCACTATTTCAGCTACTATTTAGCTGTTTCATGCAAATTAAAGATTTTTCATCTAATTTCACTTTTTTTTTTGCACTCTTTTCAACTTTTTTCAACCTAATTCAGGAACAGTGTGCTCTCTCCACTTCCTTCTTGTAATTTTAGCTTCTTGCTTTTTCAGTTACTTTTCAGCTATTTTATGCTAATTTCAGCTTTTTTTCAGATAATTCCCACTTTTGTGCACATTTCTGCTTCTTTTCAGTAAACATGTTTGTTTTGCTTTCTTCTTCTAATTTAAGATTGTTCTACCGTTTCAGCTACTTTTTCAACATTTTTAACTAGATTCAGTTGTTTTCAGATAAATTCAAGTTTTATGGTAATTTCTGCTACTTTCAGCTTGTTGTGCTTCTTTCAGTTTTTTTCTACTAGTTTTAGCTTTTTCAGCTATTTCAGCTATTAGTTAGCTGTTTTATGCCAATTTTAGCTTTTTAAGCTAATTCTACTTTTTTAGAGCTCATTTGAGCTCATTCCACTTTCTCATAGTTTAAGCTTCTTTCTGTATTTTCAGCTACTTTTCAGCCATTTTTGCTCATTTCTGCTTTTTTTAAAGCTCATTTCCTAATTTTTGAACCGATTTCTGCTTATCTAAACCTAATTCAGCAAATATGTGTTCTTTTTGCTTTCTTCTGCAAATATTGGCTTATTATTCCATTTCAGCTATATTTCAGCAATTTTTTTAGCTAGTTTTAGCAGTTTTTTTTCTTTATTTTTATTCATTTTATAATAATAAAAAAAACACAAAACAATTAACATACAGACAACAAAAGAAATAAAATTATAAAATGAAAGGTGGCAGATGAAGAAAAAAATCTTATCATATCTGCCCCCTATTTTATGATAAACAATTTAAACAAACAACTTCCTTTGAATACAAAAAAGAGATAAACAACACATTAACTTCCTTAATCGCAATGAATTACTGTTTGAACTCATTTCAAATATATTGTTTCAACAATTTATCCTTGACCATTCTTTTGCATTGATTTAGCTTCTTTAACATCAGTTCCTAATTCATTTCATAACCCAACTCCTTGAATTATGGTAGACCTTCCTTTTAAAGTAGTTCTATACTTGGGCTTCACAAACATGTCTGTTCCCTTAAGATTATAACAACTCAATTGTTTAACAATATACACCTGGATATTCAAAGGCAAAACATTATTGTGCGCTCTATACATCACTGACAATATATTATAATCCACCAAATCATAGAACTTCAGCAATTTGGTATTATAAAATAATATACTTGATGGATGCCGATAATGTTTTCTAGTAATAATTCTTAAAACTCTTTTCTGCAAAACAAAAAAAGGCTTTGTAATTGATTTACATGCCTTTCCCCAAATACTAATACAATAAATCTAATGTGGAACAATAATTGTATTATATAACAAATAAAGTGCCTTTTCATTCAATAGATCCCTAACTCTATAAAATATTGCAATAGATTTAGATAATTTCATTTTAACAGAACTTATATGTCGTTTCCAGGACAGTTTGTCATCAATTATGACACCCAAGAATTTCGCCTCATGGACTCTATGAATTTCGGAGCCATCAATTTTAAATGAGACATCAATAGATTTATTTTTATTACTAAAAATCATATAATTGGTTTTATCTAAATTTAATGTTAATTTATTAAGTTTAAACCAAAACTGAACTTTATCAAGTTCAGTCATCATTAATTCCACTGTTTGTTCAATACTCTTACCAAAACTAAAAAATGTGGTATCATCAGCAAATAAAATACATTTAAGGAGACCAGACACCTTAACCAAATCATTAACATACAAAATAAACAATTTTGGTCCCAACACCGATCCCTGAGGAACTCCGCATGTTATAGTGCTGTGATCAGATTTCACATCATCCATCTGAACAAACTGTGTCCTTTCCCTCAAATAACTAGATACCCACTGCAGCGCTACTCCTCTAATACCATACCTATGTAACTTGTCAAGGAGTATAGAGTGGTCAACAGTATCAAATGCTTTCTTTAAATCCACAAAAACATTAACACAGTATTGTTTTTGATCAACAGCTGTTGATACTTTTTCAATTAATTCCATAAGAGCCATAGATGTTGAATTATTTGCTCTGAACCCATATTGACTGTCAGTTAGAATATTATGTTTTTCAACAAATTTGTCCAATCTACTAACAAATAGTTTTTCCAATATTTTTGAAAACTGTGGTAACAAGGATATCAGTCTGTAATTATTGAATAAACATTTATCACCACTTTTGAAAAGAGGAACCACCTTCGCCACTTTCATTTGATCTGGAAATACTCCTGTTGTAAAGGACAAATTACATATGTATGTAAATGGCTCAATTACATGACCTATTATGTCCTTTACAAATGTCATATCCATATCCATATAATCTTTGGATTTTTTATCTGCAAATTTATTAACTATGTTTATTATTTCTTCATTATTTGTCCCATTAAGGAACATACTGTTTAAACAATCCTCAATTAAATAGTTAACATTTTTGTCAACTTTAGGTATTTCAGCTGCAAGGTTTGTTCCAATCTTCACAAAATACTGATTAAATTTATTAACAATTTCATTTTTATCATTGATTTCCTCATTGTTTATTACAAAATTCTGTGAGGTACCAGTTTTTGCTACATGTTTTTTTAAAACACTATTCACTACTCTCCATGTGGCCCTCATATTTCCACCACTTTTATTCAATAAATCACTATAATATGCTTTCTTATGTTTTCTTATAATCCCTACTAATTTATTTGTGTACCTCTTATATCTATCTTCTGCCTCTTGTGTTTTACATTTCAAAAAACATGAGTACAAATAATTCTTCTTTTTACATGCGTTTCTCAATCCTTTAGTCATCCATTGTTGGTCTACAATATTCTTTTTGGTATAGTTCTTTTGTACACAATTCTTTTCATATAAAGTTTCCAAAATATCATTAACATATCGTATGATTTGTTTACATCTTTAACATACACACTTTCCCAATTTTGTTTAACAAGATCATCTTTTAATTTGTCTAAAGCTTTTTTTGATGTATTTATTTTTCTTTTCATACTAGCAGTTATTTTCATAATATTATGATACTTATTATATATTGTAAAAACCGGTAAGTGATCACTGAGATCTGTCGTCAAAATACCACTAGTCACATCCCCATTTATTGTATTTGTAAATATATTATCAATTATTGTTGCACTGTGAGTTGTGATTCTTGTTGGTCTTGATATCAATGGGTAAAGATTTAAAGTATGCATGGAGTCTATAAATGTACTGATATTATTAGAATCTCTATTATTCCCCAAATCGATATTAAAATCACCACATAAAAATATTGTTTTATTGCAATTCTTTTCTAGTAGTTCTATGATTCTATCTGTAAACAATTCTATATTTGAATCAGGTGGTCGATATACACAACTAATTATAATGTTTTTATCATTTTTATTATTTATTTCTATTGTTACCATTTCAATTATGTTATCATCAATAATTGACATTTCATCAATTAATTTACATTTTACCGAATTATTTACAAATAGAGCCACACCACCACCTTTCCTGTTAATTCTATTCATATTAAATAATTCATACCCATCAATATGGGCATTATTTATATTTTCATCATTTAACCATGTTTCTGAAAATGCTAATATTGTAAAAGTCCTATTTAATTGTCTTAAGTAGTCAGTTATCATAGAAATATTTGCATTCAAACTCCTACTATTGAAATGGATTATTGATAGACCAGACTTTGTTAAACTTAAATCATTAAACTGTTTTTCATTGTAGTATTCACAATCCTTGGTAATTGGAAAAAAACCTGCATCAATCTCATCATCAACACTATATATTTTCGGTTCTGAATCTTCATTCTCTATCATTGATGGAGATATTCTTTCACTAGACTAATATTTATTACCATCTCATCTCTAGTTTATCCATATTTTTCCAATTCCTTCAGTTCTTTGATTATTTTAGCCTGTTGTCCTTCTTTTACTTTTATCCAAAAGCAAGTTCTTTAGCAATAAGCATTTACACTGCATTTTCGCAGGAAATGCAATTTATTTATATAATTACTTTTACTCACCTCATTAAATACTGTAATAACCAACTAACTAAATAAATAAATAAATAAACCAATCATTCAAGAAGTGAGATTTTGACAATTTTAAGCATTTTTCCATCATTTTGTTCTAACAAAAAAAAATCAATTGGCCTTTTTAGCTTCAATGTATTGGAACACACTGGTGTATAATACTTAATTTGACTGTATTTGCCTGAAAAAAAAAATTCTGATAAATGCCTTAAAACTTGAATATGTGCCAAATGAGCTGAAGTGAATAGAAACAAAATGCATTTGTATGTACAGATCTGTAAGGTTTACATTAAGACTGCTCTTACTCACAGGTGAAGCCAGTGCTTCCACTATGTGGGATAATCAAGCCTGGAGCTACCTCCATCCAGACCTGGAGCAGTCAGAGCCTCCATTCCTGGCTCAGGACTTCATCCACACAGTCCAGCCTGGAGCCAGAATCATCATCATCCTCAGAGATCCAGTGGAAAGGTAAAAATAATCCGTACGCAGGTGTGTGAAGCTGGAACATTTGGTTTTCAAAGAGTTTAGGTTACATCTAATCAGGTTTTCCTATAATTCATCAGTGTCAAACAGCGTAATTGTTTAGAATAAGAAAATTATCTGCACAATCCAACAAAATGGAATGTCTTCCGTCCAGTTGGCTTTAAACTCTGCTTTAATCTGCCCACAGGCTTTACTCTGACTACTTGTATTTTACCATGGCCAACAAGTCTGCAGAGGATTTCCATCAGAAGGTCGTAGAATCTGTCCAGCTGTTTCAGTCCTGCCTCTCGGAGAGATCCCTCCGTTCCTGTGTCTACAACACCAGCCTCTTCTACACCATGCCGGTTAGCTCAGGTTCTTTCATCCAAGTATATTAACCTTTTTCAACAAGATTATGCTTTTATTTGTTTATTTTTAGTTTAGGATTTCTGTTTAAAAAGACTATAAACAGGTGTTTCAGCAATTTTAATTTGAATAAAATTAACTTAACACCACTGAACTAAAAAAAAAAAAAAAAAAAGTTTTGTTTTTTTTGTTTGTTTTTTCTTCTCATGTCTTATTCCAAGCAAGTCACATTTTTTGAGAAAAATTACTTGTGAGCTCAGGGAAGGAAGATTAGTCCACAACATAAAGTTGACAATCTAAAAAACAAAAAGCTTGACAAGTTTTTTTGTTTGTTTTTTTAAGTTTACTGCTTAGGAGAACAAATTTCCATTAAAAAAAAAGTCATGTACTGTTTGTATTAACTGCAGCTGCAGCGCCTTGATAAAAACAACAACTGTATTTTAAACTATTTACGTTTATATTTTGTTTGCATTGTAGCGCCCTCTGCTGGATTTAATATGTCTTTACCGCTGGACTAAATCAATTTCAAGTTCAAGTCAATTTTATTGTCTTTGGTGTCAAATGCATGAGGTGGAATTAAATTATGTACACATGATCCCAACAATAGCAAAAATATAGATGGTAAAAAGAAACAATATATAAGGATCTAAAATTTACACTATTAAATATAATCCTCTTTTCATTTAACACAAACATTTAAAATTAATTTAGGGCAGCAAAGTGATTTTAAATGCATTAAAACACATACAATTTATGGACCTCATCAGTTTAAAATAAATTTAAGTGTTTGCGTTTTTATATAAATACATGAGTGTGTGTGTGTTTGCATGTATGTATTTGTATAGATTGAATTTTTAAATATAAAATGGACAAAATTAATATAATTTCACGCACAATTCCAAAAATGGGCCTGACAAAATTATTGGAGCCTTTTCAGAATTGTAATTTTCTTATTGTTTACTTGGCGTTAGTTTCTGTTTTTTTTTTGTTTTTTTTTCTCAACTTCAGAAAATTATCTTTTTTATTTATTGTGTTATCTTTTATTTGCAGGTGAGACTAACTCTGGGAATGTACTTTGTCTTCTTAGTGGACTGGCTGACAGTCTTCCATAGAGAGCAGATTTTAGTTCTTCGACTGGAGGACTACGCAGCCAACCTCAAAAACACCATCAGGACAGTTTTTGATTTTCTCAGTGTAGGTGTGTATCCAACACACATAGAAAAATCAGCAGCACAGTGTGCATGTTAGCAACTATTGATAATGCTTTTATTCTTATTTTCTTACATGCCCTCTCTTCAAAGGCCCTTTGTCTGAGCAAGTGGAGGCAGCTCTCAGCAAACGGCCCATGTCTAACACCCGGCGGGTCCAAGACAAGAACCTCGGTCCGATGCTTCCAGCCACCAGAAACCTCCTCAGCAGGTTCTATCTGCCCTTCAACAGTGAACTGTCCAGTGTGTTGAACAACAGCGCCTTTCTATGGAGTTACAGCAGAATGGACACTGACAAATGAACTTTAGAAAACAGGCAAATCAACAAGCTGGAGCACCTGCACTAAGACAACCTGCTGTCACAAATCTGTGATATTTATTTGCTTTTAAAGGAGAGTTATGGATAATAAATAAAGAAAATTTTATTATAAAATAGCATTCTTTTATTTATTAAAGAAAGACTATTCTACATATGAACTCTAAATTGTCCCTAGGTGTGAGTGAGAGAGTGAATGGTTGTTTGTCTCGTTTGTCTCTATGTGGCCCTGTGATGGACTTGCGACCCGTCCAGGGTGTACCCCGCCCCTCGCACAGTGATTGCTGGACATGGGCACCAGCGACCCCCGTGACCCAAAAATGGAATAAACGGGTAAAGATAATGGATGGATGGATATTCGACATATCTTTGAAACTTGTTAATAACTAAATGCAAATAAAATAAATTTGTGTTTTTAATATTTTATGTTATTATACATTCCAACTTTACCTTTTGTGGGTATTGCCTTTTTTATGTGTGGTGCAAACCAAACTATCATTAAAGATGTGAAATTTATATACAAATCTATTTCATTTGCAAAAAGATTTGGGAACCTGCCAAAAATGAATTATGTGCTTGAGATTGCAGATATTGTGTCAGTTTTTACTATGTCAGCAACAACAGAGGAAGAAAAACACAGCCTATGCTTTTTATGGGCTCTCAATATTAAAACTTTAGGTTTGGATTATTATTATTTTTTTTATTGTTGTAGGCTGATATAAGAGAAGCCCGGCTCAAAGTAAATTTATTCATCTTATCTTTGTTTCTTTAAAAGCATGCTTCAATTACTATACTTCTAAAACTGGACATTATCTATGTTGCACTGCTTTGATTTGAAGAGCTAATTCTAATTTTCTTTCAGCTTTAGT